ATCACAGAAGAAAAAAGAAAAAGACCAATGAAAAATATAAAAGGATGCCAAACCTCTAGTAGTAAGGGAACTGCAAATAGGGAAGTATTTAAGAGTAGGGGCCCTGGAGTCAGACTGCCTATGTTTATATCCTGGCTGCATATTCTTAGACAAATTACTCAACATCTCTGGGCCCCTCATCTGTCATTGAGGATAATATCTAACTCATAAGATTGTTAAGAAAAGAGAATGAGATAAATGCACAGTGTTCAAAACAATGCCTGGCCTGCAGTAAGAGCTCAACAAAAACATTAACTGCTATTTAATGTCATTATTAATATTACCAGGGTTGGTGAAGATACAGGCAAAGTTATACTCTGTTAGTTGATAAGTGAAAATTGGCAAAGACATTTTAGAAGGCAATTTGGCAGTATGCATCAAATTTCTGATATATACATACATACCATTAGACCCAGAAATTCTACTGCTAGTAATTTACCTGAAGAAATGTTCCTACATGTATGTATCAGTCAAGTACAGTATTGAAGTGCTCTGGATTCTGAGACAGGAAATGCTGGCTCTAGTTTCAGTTCCACCAATAACAAACCATGTAACCCCTGTTCAAAAAAATCACTTCATTTTGATTTTTTTTAGTTTATTACTTTATAAAAGGTGGATAACAATTTGCTTAATCTGCCTCAGAGGACTTACTTTAAGAATGTGACTCCCAAAATGTGGTTCCTGGACCAACATCATTGCATCATCTAGGAACTTGTTAGAAATTCAAATTCTGCAGCTCCAACTCAGACCTATAGAATCAGAAACTCTGGGGATGTGGGCAGCAATTTCCATTTTAATAAGCTGTCTAGGTGATTCTGAGACAAGTTTAAATTCAAAGATGAAAACATATAAAATCTCTTGGATAGCTACAGAGGGGAACTGAAAGAGTACTAGTACTACTATTACTAATTAACACAAAAAGTAAGACTGTTCCCATTTCAATTTCAAGAAAAGGTATATTTTGGATAATCATCTTGATATACTCTTCTGTTGCTGAACTTGAACTATAGAAGGCCCCCCAGGAAGTCAAACTCCTTTATGAAATCAAGTAAATAAATACAAGTATTTTAGTACCTTACGGTTCAAGGTAACCTCATTAACAAATCAAGCAATGCTTTAAGTACCTAAATTCACTGACTTTTGATTAGTGGTTTTTGTAATGGAAAACTGGCAGCCTTTGTCAGAATTGTACCTAATAATTCCTGATCTTTCCCTGAACTTTTTAGGAAACAAAAATAGCCACCTGCAACTTAACAAGCTATTTATTTGCTGTGTAACAATAACACTAGAGAAGCCTTGGCTATTGTTTAGTGACCACTTCACAGGGACCAAATGCTGGCTCTCTAAAAATAACATAGGTTCCCATATTTATCAGAAGTTCAGATTTTTGTTTTATTAAGAAGTATGTACAGACTCTTAAAGGGTATGGAACTTGTCATGATTATTTGAGCAGTCTGATCCAAGACCCTTGAAGTCTGATCAGATGATGCTCTGGGGTGCTCACATATTTTTTTCTAGTAGGATTAAGACTTATGATAGTAACTATTTTTTGTTTCAGAAGTGAATTCAATCACTTCTTAATGTTCTTTACTGACATGTCAAAAATAACACCATATTTGGTGAGCTTTATGTAATGGCATGGGGAGACCTTAATCCAATAATGATACAATTCCCAATACAATAGAGTAATACACCAGCTATTCTCTAATTTCACCTATATACGACACAGTTAAAAGTCCAGAAATTAGAAAGAGTCAGTAAAATTTCTAGAATAGGAGAGCTATAGAATCTCACACTGGCCTTTATACTCTGACACAATTTTTATAGCATTTGTTACTTGGTTTCTAAACTCCCAGCAAATCTGAGGCAGCAAATAAGAAAAGGAAAAAAAGCTCTTATGAGTGGGTCCTCAGCAGTTGACAAGAGAACCATTCATCTAAGAGTACTCATGTATCAAAAGTACCCACTTCCCCAAACACACACTTACAATTTCTGGAGTCAGTCTTCACTCAGGACCCCAAATCTTAATCTTTGAGTTGTTGCCACTAGTCATTGCTATTTATGTATGTGGCACATAGGGAAATGTTTACATCAGTTGAGTTTTGAGGGTTTATGGTATCAGGTCTTAGAAATAATACTTATCTTTAGGAAAGAGATTCTTAACCTCTTATGGTATCACATTACTTTGAGAATATGATTTTAAAAATATATTTATCTGCCCAACATTTTCATATGGTCTCAAGATCTCAACTGACTTTCTGAAGCCAATCCATAGAACTCTAGGTGACCATGGACCCCAAATTAAGAACTTCTGCATAAGAAGACAAAATGCATATGTTTAAGTTAACATTTATTCAGAATGATCTTTACAGATTTTTAAATGATGACGAACTGGGTGACACTATAAATGCTCAATAAAAACGATGGCTAAAGCAAACCTAATAAAGACACTTTAGAAGAAATTAGTATTAGGATAATGGCAAGTCTCTAAAGGAAAACAAACTGGCAAAAGAGAGACAAAAATGAAAGAGAAATATTCTACAAATTCTTTAAAATATTGTCTACCTTTGCAGCAAAACAGTATGGCAGGAAAGTTTTTTATTACTAAGTTGAAGATGTCAGCAGTTAAAGATAATGCCTAAGACTGTAAGTCTCAAAAGTGACCTTGCAACTAAGATCGAATATCATTTTTATAGTGGGTAAGATCACAGGCCTGGAAACAGATCTGGATTCTAAGGACAGTTTTGTTATTTACTAGCTATACAGCCTTGAACAATCACTTAACTTCTGTAAGTCTCAGCTTCATTATCTGTAAACAGAACCAACTAGTTCATAGGGTGGCTGTGATGATTAGAGATAATTAGAGATAATAGAGTAATGATTAGAGATAATACACTTAACTCTTAGCACAGTGACAAGATGACAATAAATGGCAGCCATTAGTTACTGTTTGATTTCAATGAACTGATTTTTTATGCAGGGATTTACAGTTTGCAGTGTTACTGTACCTACGATCTCTTATGATCCTCTGGAGTAGGAACAACTATATCCTCATTTTACAGTGGAAGAAACTGAAGTCAAATGACTTATCCAAAGACACCAATTAGTAGAAAAGAAACCTGGACTTAAGACACTAGGAAGCAAGATTCAAAACTCCTTTTTTCCTCCAAAGCTAGAACTTTTAAATTTTGCTTAATCTTTTTAAAAATTGTAGTCAAATACATACAACATAATATTTGTAATTTCAACCATTTTAAGTGTACAGTTCAGTGGTTCAGTGGCATTACTTTCACCTTGTTGTGCAATAACTGTCACCAACATCCATCCCCAGAACATGAATCTGTACCTATTAAACACAAATTTCCCATTCCCCCTCCACCAACCCCTGGTAACCAGACTACTCTAGGTACCTCAATAAGTGGAATCATACAATATTTGTCGTTTGTCACTGGTTTATTTCACTTAGAATAATATCTTCAAAATTCATCCATGTTGTAGCATTTGTCAGTTTCCTTCCTTTTTAAGGCTGAATAATATTCAGCTGTATTACATACCACATTTTACTTACCCATCCATCCATTGGTGACATGTGGGTTGCTTCCACTGCCTTTAAAAATTTTTTTAAGTATTGTTACACTACTGTTTTGAGATTAATTATCTACTTTTAGATTATTCACTCCTCTCCTTTCACCCCATTTGTCTTTTTTTTAAGGGAAAATGCAAGTAAGCAGTTGATTTAATTCTGTACAGTTTACAGTAGAGAGCAGTAAAACCACTTTTTGTTGGGGTGAGGGGCAGGGCTATTTTTTTTGGAGCTCCGAATCAACAAAGGAAAAAAGATGAAACTCAAATGAGTTTAATTTGATTTGGCAGGACGGAAAACCATTAATTAAAATAATAAATTAGATGTTAAGATTATAAATCACTTTACATGCTATTTTTGGGACCTTTAATAAGGGATAATGGAAAGTTTCTGTTATTGGACGTTAAATTAAAAAGTTCTTCAGGGTTGACTGAGAGGGAGACGGAAGAGTTGTTTAAGGGCCAGAGTCTGGAAAAACTTCGGTAGGTGGCAGCTACTCCAGAGTGAGTGCTAATGCACTATGAAGACCAAATTACTGCTCTCTAAAGTAATCTCAAACCATTCCACTGGTTTAAGGATGCAACTTGAATGGAGTTCCTTTACTTTGCACTTTATAACTGTGAGGTGAGATTAACCACAAGGGTCAGCACAATTCTCAGAAATAACTAAACCACAACGGAGGAAGGACAACTCGAGAGATTTCAAAAACAGTGACAATTTAAAGATGCAATTGAATCTTGCACTTCAGTGAATGAAGGTGTGCATGCAGACTTGGGTTGTGAGCACGTACTACTTACTACACAGGAAGACAAAAAGAAAAACAAACTACTGAGATCCAGATTTCTGAAATAATTCCGGACTACAACCAGCGGGAGCGAAGAATGGACTGCTTTTCTTTGTGTGAACGGCTTCCAACAGAAATCTATGGTCACACGCAAACTTACTTGAAACAAAACAACACAACACACTAGGGAGCCTGATCACCAGCAGGACCCGCAAGGGAGTCCTAGCGTTTCCGGCCGGCGATTCATAAGCTACAGACCGCCGTTCACCCCCAGAAATCTCCCGAGTTCCAGACGGCGCGGCTGTCACTCGGTCACCACAGACAACTTCGCTGGGACGATCCCACTTTCAGATTTCCTCAAAGTTGACCAGAAATTCTCGAAAAGATTTTTTTTTCTGTCCGCCTACACCTCCGGGGACACTTTCTGCCTCCCAGGAACTACACCACACTGTACCCCACGAATCCCCCGGATGCCCAAGAACTCCAAGCACACAGAGTGCTATTTCGCCCTCGCAGGATGCTGGGGAAAGCGGCCGCTGAAAAGCAAACTTTCCTAGTGTTGGCGGAGGGCGGGAGGGCGCGCGCCGCACTCACAGCTGGTTGATGGCGTTCTGCGAGATGACCGCGTTGGCGGAGAAGTAGGGGATCATGTCGGGGCTACCGAGGCTGCAGGTGCAGGCGGGGGGCGCCTTCTTCTGGCCGGCCAACGTGCTCAGGGTCATGGGGCCGGCTCAAGGCGCTCAGCTCCGCATCCTGGCCCCCGCCCGGCTCGGGCACGAGGCGTTCGCGTTGGGCTCCGCCGGGACGGACAAACAGGCAGCACAGGCTCCCCGCGGCCGAACTGGGCCCGCCGGGTCGCGCGCAGGGAGCCGCCGCAGCCCTAGGGCTCGGCTGTGGAGTCCCGGCAGCTGGGAGCAGCCAGCAGCCCGCCCCAACCCGCGTCCGGGGCGGGGCGCCGCGGCGGGGCGGGGCGGCCCGGTGGGGAGGGTCAGCCCGGATGGCGCCCCGCCCCCGAACTCGCGGTACCCACGGGATCCCGCTGCGCGCCTCCGGACGTGGGGGACACCGGTCGGCCCCAAGACGCCGAGGCTTGATGAAGGGGAGAAGCAAGCGGGTAGGGGGCAAGAAAGGCTCGCGTTTTTTGGGTAATGTTGCAACAGAAAGGTCCTGCCTTTTAACAGGCTCTATACATTGAACTTCAATCAAATCCTATTTTTCAAATGATCTTAAAACTTTAAAAGGCCGAACATTCACAAATTCAGAGATTAGCTGTTTTTCTCTTTTTAAGTTAGATGGGAAAGAAAACCTATCTACCCTAAAGATAACATGTGCTAACCCTTGTAAATACGTTTATAAAGGGCTTTCCTAACCTTCAAACCAAGGACTCACAATATTAGCTGCACATATGAATAACTTGTGTAAATTTAAAAAATTCCAATACCCGGCTGCACCCTAGAATTGGAATCTCTTTAAGTTGGGATCAGTCATCGAGTTTTTTTCAAAGCTCTCCTGGTGATTCTAATGTGCAGTCATGGTTGGGAATTATTGTGCCAAATGATCTAGCAGGGAAGACAGGCTACAGATTATATCCTCACACATGTGATCTAGCCAGGTGACCTAAGTGGTATCATTTAGATAGGAACTCCGATTTTATAACTCGTGATCTAGGTAGGGCTTTTCTCACCAAATCCTATTCCCTGATGCCTTCATGACTTTAAGCTCTTATTGAGCAGTGCCTTTCATCTGTCCAGGGACTAGCTAAGTGAGAATCTCTTTTCTCTTTCTCCTGCATTCCATGTAGTGACTTAAAAAAGGCACTGACCCTCTACAAGCACCCAATAAAAGTGAACTCCCTTATCTCTTGCCCTACTCTCATCGGAACAAATATTTTCAGGCAGTTATTTTTTGTTCTTCTGAATACTGGACTAAAATGTATATCATTAAAGCTGCCTTACGAATTCCAGAGTCAGAAATTAATAATTAAAAAAAATGACTTCACTATCCAATTATATAAGAGACTAAAATTAGGAAGAAATCTCTTTAAGACTCAACATATGCTAGAATCAAGAAGAAATAACTATTTGTTTTGTATAAACTTTCAGGTCTCTATTCCTATTGGGAAGTTTGGCAATTTCCAAACTAATAGTAAGGAAATGATCAATCTAAACTATAAATTCTGAGTCTAAAACCAGAATCACTCTTTTGCTAGATGATCCTTCCATAATTCTTAAAGTTGTTGCCAAGACACTGGGGGACTAAGAATATTGCAAACTCATGCGGAAATAGATATCTATTTTTCCTACAGATCTGGTAATGGGAAAGAACCAGTTGGCAAATGAGTAACACTTAATGAAAAATCTGGATCTTGGAGTCCAGTGCATCATCATCTTTCTTTCCATCTCTAGGAAGGAAAATGTCTTTGAAAGATTTATTCAGGCTGTGTCAGCAGGCACCCAAATGGCAGTATAAGAAAAAATCTGCTGATACACCCCAAAATAAACTGCTTTAAATATCCAGCAAACTTGCCAGTTTGAAACTTCTTCTGTAATTTATTACAGCCTCCTGTAGTGATAAAAAAAAAAAAAAGAAAAAGCAGCAGGCTGTTTGGAACAGCACTATTAAGGTGAGTCAAATTCCTTTCATGACACAGCAGAGATGGGATTTTATTGAAGTCAACATCAGATAATACCATTTAGGAAAGATGATGGCATGGTAATCATCTGTGTCTGTCTGAAAAAGAAGTCAGCAGGAAATGTATCTTACTCAATTCACACTTAATAACTCTGGCATTTAAAAATCTAGAGATAAAGATTTCATAAATATGTATACTTGTCTTTTATAAATAGGTTCCTATAGTGACACCTCAGAAGTGCATAGTCCTTTGTTTCCCCTCAAAAGACCCCTGTCAGTGCCTGTTCAGTGAAGTAGACTATTTTAACATCCTCATCCCGGCCTTCTCAAGAGCGTTTACAAAGTTAAATTCTCACTTTAAACTTTAATAAAGGAAATTGAGAAAGTGCTAGAACATGCCTCTTGGTTTTTTAAGAAAAAAATTAAATCATTTTTGCAAACTGAAGTACCCTTAAGGAAGTAGTTCTTTCTGCTAAGTCTGTTTTAAAAAGTTGAACGAATTCCCTTTCTTTTCACAGTCTTCAGAGTGTCAAAATGTCAATCAATTTAGTTTCAGCTCAATTTAATCCTTTACTCTCCACTGTCAGGAAACAAGGCTCTAGGGAGCAAGCTCTCTGTACCCACGCATCTAGGAATTCAAAAATGATTCCAAATTAGATAGAGCAGCATGAAATAAACTAAACTAGTTTTCTACTCCACATATAGTCAGAAGGGGCTTAAAAAATCTGCACAAAGGCCCTGAAGAAAAAATTGCTGTATTTCTTTACATACTTTAGTTAGATTTGAAATGAACTTTGTCATGTCATTTGCTGACCATTTAAAGGCTCAGAAATATTAATATTCCAAAATGTTAATTTGGCTCTTGATAGCATAAGTTATAACCAAATTAATTTTTTATAGAATTATGTTAAAAGCATTACAAAAAATTTTAAAGTAGTAGGTGTCCCTGCATCCATAGTTAATTCCATTACTATGTCTTCATGAGTCCCTCCATAAGGTATAAACTCTATAAAACTGTTTAAAATCAGAAACTTACATGCCAATCTAACTGTA